GTTGCTCCTTGTATTTTCTGGCTGAGCCAGCAGGATTGGTGTCAGTGACTCTCAACACAAAACCTGTCAGTGAACCTGGCTGAGACTTCTTCCACATCCTGCCTCCGCCAGCAACACCAGCAATGTCATGATTCCCAGTATATCCATGACAACAGAGCGTTAGTGACCCATGAAGGGTTCCGCTGGCATCGTCTGTCTATGGAATAAAGGAGATTAAGCCTCTCCAGAGTAACTAGCATTGCTCCAGCACAGTTAGCCAGGGAAGCAGTGGTAGCTGTTCTCGGGGGACACGTCACAGTCCGGCAGGTGGCATAAGTAGCCGCCCTGAAAAGCGGCTCAGTCTCCATGCTACTGCTGAAAGATTCCCTTTAACGGAGTGGAGAGAGGAAATCTGCTCCACATCACTCTGCAGGTGAAGCAGGTAAGACATATGGTAAATCTTAATGCAACTCCAACCTTTGTTCTTTCCTTTTCAGCTTCCTCCTCCTCCTCTTCATCCTCTTCCTCTTCCTCCTGTCCTTCTTCCTGTCCTTTAGGTCTCAAGACCTGAGGAATTGTGAACGGCCTGAGAATGAAGGGACAAACACTCAGCAATGAAGACAGTACAGCCACAAACCGTTCCCTGAACAGCATATCCTTATTGGTTCGCATCTTATCTTTCAAACATGAGAACCCACAATCTAATGGAATTGCTTCTTTTTCTGAAGAAAAAGAAACAAAACCACCCAGAGACCCAGCAGCTAGTGACACATTTACCATGGGCAATTAACGAACACATGTTCTTCACCGGGGAATGTTCACTATGAAGTTGTTACTGAAAATAATAATAGTTAAAAAAAGGAGCAGGTCAGGAAAAACCTGAAGCCTCACAAGGAATTTCTCCAAGGAAACAACTGGTTCTTCTAGGAGAAGGGGATCCAGGCACAGCCACGAGGCATCAGTAAGGACACTTTGCCAGGCTTTAGCTCACCCATCGGGGAGCATCTGTTGTACAAAGACAAACCCTCAGACCTCTAAGCTGAAACTCAGACAGAAACATTAATGCTCAGAAAGTGCTGTGCTCTAAAACCTCTGTGACTGGCCAGTGGTTATCCACGGAGCCCCAGTGTCATACAGGGGGAAATACCTGCAGAAATTCATCAAGCTTTATGAATCACCCTGAACACGCACAGCAGCAACCCTGGGAGGGGGTGGAGGCAGAATTTACCACATGCATATAGCTGTTCTTTTATATATTATATATGTGTGTGTTCTTAAATTCTATTGGAATTCAGATCCACTGTTCCACTGTCAAAGAAATAAATGTAAAACCAGAAAAGCCTTTGTTACTTCAAAGCTCTAGATCTAGTTTTCAGCAGTAACATCCACTAATTGTTCCTATTGCCTCTCTAGGAGCAGTGATCACTGAGCACCTGAAATAGGGGAAAAGACCCGAGTGCCACACTGTTAGAGACAAACAACAAAAAAGATCTAAATTGAAGCCTTGCCACGCTTTAGGAGTGAAAAAAAAAATCCAAAGGGACAAAGGAACCCCAAAGACGGATTTCGGTTTGAGGTTAGAAATGGTGACATCTTCATAATACATCAGAATTTAACAGGCCACTTTCAGAAATGTTAAACCAGCTTTTAAAACACACGTTTTCTATCTCTAGCTCTTATTTCTAAAAGAAATATTCCACAATCCCCCTCCCAAACTAATCCTTTGCTTCCTAAAAGCTAACTGTCTCCAGCTGTCAGCCATTGCGGACAGCGCTGTGCAGTCACTCCAGGACTGAATTCCAGGTGTCAGCACTGTGAGACATCCGAGGGGATTGGCAAGGAGAAGGAGTCCGGTTGTAGTTTCCTGAATTTTTAAGTTTTCCTTTGCTAACCAGCCATTTCACACTGCTACGCTCAACCCGGATTGTTCAAGCCCGTTTTCTCCCGCTGCAGGACCGTTTTCTCTAAGCAGCAGCACTGCCGAGTCCAAGTTTCAACACAATGGCAAGTTCCCCTCTTAGATTTGTTGATTAGTTGAGGCAACAGCCGAGTCCTGCAGACACAGAAGCCTGAGAACACCCTGGATGCATGCCATGGCAATACTCCCTACCAACGGGAGGAGGGAGACCCAAAACTCCCTCCCTGCATGTTACGGAGAAAGCAGCAGACCAAGGGGTGGTTTGAAGCGTGCCCGTCCTCACTGAGAACAAACCCCAGTGCTGAACAGGTCTGCGCGAGCCAGGCCATCCCCATCAGCCTCCCATTCACTGAAGCCACAGCACCTACCTCCTACTGATCAGCTCATCATCTGAGTCAGCATCATTTGCCCCCACTTGGTTGCCATCGTAAGTGTCATCGTATTCGTCCTCATAGTCCTCCTTGTAGAGCTGAGCTTCCCCTGGCTGCACAGGCACCTCCTCCACCACCACGCTGTACTGGCTGTAGCGCTCCTTCTGCTCAGCAATCAGGCGTTTGTCGTTCAGCAAACTCCTGGTCGTGTCCTTCTCCCTCCTGCACTCCGCAGCGTGGAAACGGAGAGGCAGACACAGAAAGGCAGCGTAAAGATCTTTTTTTTTCCATTTAGTACGTGGAAGCTGAAGCAACAGAAGTCTTATCTCAAACTCCACGAGCACTGCTTAAGCCTACCTGTTTCCCCTCTGATTTATAACAGGACTCTTTGGCTGGCTCCTAAAAACGGGCACTCCTGGCTTGGAACAAAGTAATTTTAAAAAGCAGCCCAGTAAGATCCCGCAGCGGATAAGAACAGGAATGGGAGACCGCCACTGTCATTCGAGACAGAAAGGAAGCTTTTACAAGAGGCCAAATGCAATTACACTCAAGCTGAAGTTTGGCCAAGCTCCAACTAACCCCCGAAGTCCCATGAATCTTAAACGGCAAGGTGTTAGGGCACAGAATCCAGGCTACCAGACGGCTCGGCAAGGCCCAGAGTGCCCTCTAACACCACGCTGCAGTATCGTCTCGCTGCGGTAGCACACGCAGCTGCGAATCACGGACCAGGGCTGCATTACAGGAACTGCTGCACGGACGTGCATGTTCCTCTAGCCAAGGACCTCAGCTGACAAGAGCGAGATGCAAAATACGAATGCAGACAGCGAGAGCCAAAACATTACCAGTGCAGCAAGTAAGGATTAGAATAAGCACAACTCACAAAGAAAAGAACAAAACAGAGCAGACTAGTGATTCTGATTTAACCTCTCTCAAAGCACTGCATGTGTAATTTAAAAAAAAAAAAATTTAGGAGGCAAGTAAGTTATGGTCTGCCCTTCTTTAAAAGGGCTAAGAAACAGAATTTTGACAGAGGCATTAAGAAGCAGAAACTGAGATGCTGCATCTCGAGCTGCACAGGCATAAACTCTTTGCAGTTCCATCCTTCAGACCAGCCAAGTATAAGCTTACAGTGAAGCAACAAGGGATTCCACTGCCAAGTATTCACAGGACAACTTGCAGCCCTCAAAGTCGAGGAGGAACATGCATCAGTGACCCATCAGGCATCTGGATATTATCAGAGACAGAACCCGTCCCAGGCAGACTGTCCGTGACTCAGGAATGGACAGACCTACGTGACATACTAGCAGGCAGGGGGGAAGTGATCTAAGCAGCCTGATTTTCATTATGAATCTCAAAACAAAGTACCATTACAGATAGATGTGGTTCCCCTCTCTAGTGACTCAACTCTGTTACATGCCTGCATTTAGCTGCAAAAAGCCCTGCAGAGCATGTGGTTAGTTCACACATGCCGAGGCCAGGATAACATCTTCTGTTGGTATTCAGCCTGAGCCTGAACTAAGGATTTGCTAATTGTTTCCTGTTGAGCTGGTCTGATGACTGCAGAAGAGCTGCAATGAAATGTTTCGGACACCAGTTCCAGGAAGACCAGCAGGATAACTCCTCCAGCCCCACGGTGTTCAGGGCACGCTCTGACTTCAAGAGACAGATTCAGCTAGCAATTACGGCTGCACAGGCACAGACAAGCGTGATCACTTTTCAGGATTAACGAAGAATCACGTATATGCCAGTATGTTCGTTTCCTCGTGCCTGTTTCTCTCCTCATCCTGGTGTGGCTTTCTCTTTCACATTAACAGTCCCTGCCCCAAACTGCTGATGCTTCTCCACACAGCAGCGAGCGCAACGGGGCTCAACCTGACCAGGCTCTTGCAGCACTATTGCGACATCACGCTTAGGCAGCAACAGCGCCCTAAACACAAGCAGAATTTGGTGAGCAAAAGATTTTAAGAAGGAGAAAGAAAAAAAAAAAATTGATACAATTTGAATCCAAAACAGAGCTCACACTAGGCTAGGAGAACCCTGTCACCCCGACATCTGGGTAAAGCATCAGGCTTCTTGCTTGCGGAACAAGGACTACTGAGGAAGCTGCCCTTTTCATGCTGAAAGGACCCTCTTTGTATTTATGAACATTAAATCCTAGAGAGCAAGGTACTATAAGCTTATCCTTCAATTTAGTTAGATATGGTCAGCTTTTGGCATAGGGTGTACATTGCTGATCAGAGGTAGTTACCTCCAGGTTTTAAAAAACACTCAAAACATAAACAATGTGTCTGGAGTCCTGCAGAGAGAGTGTTCTCAGTGTAAGAAGAGCTGTTCTGAAATGAAGACATAGCCTGAGGGAGGCCAAGAGACACTGGGAACAGCAGCAGTAAGAGGATAATCCCAAGGGGTCGTGCACCAGGACAGCAGAGGAGATGACGACTTTCTCAAGGAGTGATGTTACCACTGGAGAGAAGACACAGCCTCCTTGGCAGCGGCCAGAGGCCAGTGCCATGGGAGCAGAGTCCCACAATGCGGCTCAGGGATGACTTACAACTTCCAAAGCTGAGTGATCTGCAGAGGGAGCTCCGAGCAGGGCTACTCCACGGGCGGGATGCACTGTGCTGAACTCAGACAGTGCTCTCCGGCCTCGCCCAGCCGCTGCAGCAGCTCCCCACATGCGCAAGACTTTAGGGAGACGGGAGATAACCCAGCACGCCTGTGCACAAGGCTCTTGCTGCCGAGGTGCCTGCCTGCACTCTGAGCAAGTCAACACGATGAGGAGACTTCCAAAGTCATTGCCTTGGCCAGAGAGAAAAGAAATTATTGTCCTGCCTATCCGAGCCAGTATAACCACTACAGCACTGCTGCTGAATAGCTGTTCGACTGCACTTCGTGACAAAAGTGGTTTTCTCCTGAGAGTCTGATGCAGCTTTGCAACCAGAACCTTAACCAGGAGCTCCCGGGGTGACGTGGCTCAATCTACAGCCAGACTTTTATTTACGTTCTGTGCAAATACACACCAAGGATCACACTTGGCTGGTTAGAGAAAGTGTTTCAGATTGAAAAAAGTCAACCATATTCTAGAGATAAGGTTGACATCCAGGGGAGCCAGCAGGACAATGCCCTCACCTGAATCTGCAGGGAGCGTGGCACAGCACAACGTGCCAGACCAAGCAGAAAGCAAAGGAAATGCCCTTCTAGGGAAGCTGACAGCAGCAGGGACAACACAAGTAGTCTAAGGCAGCGAGCGTTATCAGATTTTGAAGCAGATGGATACTGAAGCTTCACCTGGATCTAAACCAAATCGTTATTTATTCTCAGTTCCAAGTCAGAATCCCAGGCTCGTAGAGACAGTTGCTTTTCAAGGTTTGCCGCTCAGTACAAGTTTAACACTGAGACCGAGAAGCAAGGGCCTGACGTGACAAATGAGCCTGGCAGAGCAATCTCTAGCAGCACAGAGAGGAAAGCCAATTAGGAAAAACACTAACTGAACCCAACCCCCCAATAATATTTCATTCTACTTTCCCAGAGAAACAGAAGAAACAGGTGGGAAACATTTCTTGATAAGCCTTACCTCTGCCAACAAATTCCTGCAGGAGGTTTGTACAAGAAATAAATTTGCCGGTTCACAGATATTTATTCCTCCTGACAGACAGGGTTAATTAAGGGAGCACGATACTCACCGCTTGCCTTTCTGTATCCGAGAAACATCCACCGAGTCCCTACTGAAAACATCAAACTCATCGTTCTGGAAAACATTATAGCGAGAAGTGACTAGAGGAGTAGGGTCTGGCTTCAGCTGTCTGTTAAAAAAAAACCAACAAAACAGAGAGAGAATAAAAACAAAGGTGAACTGAGGAAGACCTCTCCTTCCCAAGCCCTTGGTTTATTCTTTGTCAGTCTCAAAGTCATCCCCAGCACGCCAAGATCCTCGTCGTGGTGCTGGCTGACCGGTCACAGATTGCAATTCCTTCATCTCGCAGCTGCACTACAGCCCGTGCACGACCACTACACGGCATTGGTCTAAGATACAAGGCAGTTTTCAAAGCTTATCTTTGCGGGGAAACTAAAGCAACTTACAGAAAGCAAAAAGAAAATTCTTCTGTTCATTTAAGAATGAGTAAAACTGTACAGCAGCATGGAACCTTTGACAGACTGCCTGGTCTCAAAACAGTGACTCAGTAAAGCCAAACACTAAGTATGATGAATTACACGCTGGAAAAAATTCCAATAATTTGCTGCTGTTGATTTCAGGATATTTATCTCCCTATGGCTCCTTCTTAATTCTTTCTCAGGGTTCCAGGTTTACGTTTGTTCAACTTGTAAGTCAAAAGACCATTATTTTTACATTCATTTTGTTGGTGCTGTTATCTCAGCTGGGCATCTGAAAACGCTGCTGTGCTCGCTTCTAAAATCAGCAGTGATCAGAATTCTACATTTGCTATTGAACTGACAGTTTTGTTTCAAGATGCAAAAGGCAGGGAAAAAAAAAAAAAAAAAAAATCCAGCCTTATCTTCCGTAACTGCTGGCTTTGCAGAAAACCCCAACCTTTCCAAAAGCCCACCCCACATCATCTGTGCCAAAGTCAGCAGATCTGACTGCGAGAGCATAAATATTGTTGCAAAACTAAGATTTTTTTTTTACATCATTTTTCTCACAAAGATGCTTTCCTTTTTTAATGCAACAATGAGACAGTCTGCCCATTCCTCCATGAAATGTGAGCAAACAGCACATTCACATCCTGACACTCAGTCAGAAACTGCTGCTGCAGCACAAACACATGCTAGCAGCTGCAGACAAACTAAAACAACTCAATTTCACTGCCAGCTATAAACCCTACGTCCCATGTACAACCCAGAGAAGCAAGCAAAAGCCTCGCAAGTTTGTCAAAGGGGAGGTAAAAATGGATCCAGGTTGCCATTTCCACTCTCCCTCTGGTTTAACTTCAAGCACAAAACAGCAGCCTCTCAAATACCATATTTGACCCTGCAGGTTGAATTTCAGCTGAATGAGTTCCTCTGAAGATGCCCTTTCCTGCAGGACAGCTGGGATTTCAACACCTATGAGCCTGCCCTCTGCAGCACAACCATGTTTGAAGGTAACACACTGTATTGCCCAGCCCAGGCTAAGCCAATGTCTCCACGATGGAATTTTAATGGTTCCTATTGGAGCATTTAATGTACAAGTATTTTCGTCCCCCTGTCACAAAACACAACGCAGCATCTGCTCTACTGGAATGCTGAGCAGCGAACATTCCAGTGCTCTGCAGGGACGCGACGAGGGCAAAAAGCCAGAGGCAGATGGCAACGAGAAGCTCTCACCACAGCTATCTACCCCGAGAAAAGGCACATGCAACTTCTCAGCGCTCTACAAGCGTCTAACCTCCAGTGAGAACGGTGCTCAGTGACAACCCACAACCAAAAACCCAAAAGGCCTCAAAGCCGCGCCAGTTGCCCCGCACCTCTGCATCGTTCGGTCCAGCTTATCCAAGTAGGGCACCAGCTTATCTTCTAGGATGTTGTTGATCACTTGCTCCGCATTGTAACCGTACTCTTCCAGGCAGGCCAGGACGAAGCCCTCACCGAGGTCTGGCAGCAGGTCTTTCACTTGAGAGATGAGAGAGTCCAGCTCCACCCCTGACACCCTGGCGACGGGCGCAGCAGCAGCACCGGCGCACTGCATACACCAAACAGAATGGGTGGGGTTACTGGTGAGACACAGCAGCCGAGGGAAGGCAGGCAGGCACGTTAAAACGAGGGAAAGCAGCAGCCTGAGTTATCAGAATTTAAACACAAAGTCGTCAAAGTCTGAAGTCAAAAGAAGAGAAATCAGTGAAGGTATGTGTACTACACACCGTCCATATGACACAGTCGTGGGCACACAACTACTTTCGTCTGCCCCCGAGTCAGCAAGGATACTCTGGAGAATGCCTTCCTCAAACAATATGTGAACTGTGCATTTAAAAAATATGCACATGAATGACAGTGATGAAGCACAGTACTTGAATAAACCACAGCAATGGGAAACCCAAGCCAACAGGAGTTCGAAGCAATTTGCTCAAAGATAAAGCCAGGATTCAGGTGTAGCTCTGTTTCTCATCCCACAAGGCCCATGGGGCAGCACTGAAATCTAGCAGAGGTAAGAAATGAGACTAAATCTCATGTAATCCCCAAACCCAAGCAAACCAATCCTCTCTTCACAGACAAATGCAGTGAGGACAGAAAGAGCAGAACCCAGTCCTTCCCACAGAGCTCTACTCACCTCATCCTCTGATGCATACGCAGCCCCGAGCTCTTCCAGGTCCTCAGCAGCGCTCTCCGCTAGTGCTGATGCTCCATTAGATGCTGCTGGTGGCGTTGGATCTTTAACAACTTGTGCTTTTTTCCTGTCTACCCCTTCCCACGCACTTTCCACCGCCTGGAGGATATAGGCTGTCCTGGTCTCGTCTCTAAGCGGGCAGCGTTAAGGGCCTTTCTAGATGCACATATTCAGACCTCACCTTGAAGTAATTACGCGGTTTTCAGCGACTCCCAAGCCTGTGCCTACATCAACATTCCCCCCACCTTTTTTGGGTTTTTTTTTAAAAGGGAAAACCTTCCGTCACTCACGACCAGCCATGCAGCTTCACCAGAGGCAGCAACAGTGGGAATGCCACTGGCGTGAAGGAACCCAAGGGCAGCCAGGTCTGCCAAACCCCAAGACGACAGCAAAGGATACAGCGTGGAGGATGCTTGCTGAAGGAGACTGACATCATCCTCAACAGGAAACAGCTCATCATAGTCCCGGAGAAATCTGAAAACACAGAAGGCAGTTTAATCAGTCGAACTCAATACACCACCAGCAGACCTGTCGCACGCTGCCATCCCCGCTATGCCACCGCGACTTCCTCGCTGCTCAGGCAGGAACACGTACAATCTCTCACCCAGTACTAGATCCCAGTATGCGTTGCCACGTCTGGCTTTGCTCCCGTTGCACTGCAGCAACACTCCCCCCCAAGCCATCAAAGCCAGTTGCAACACTCGTGACGTTAAGACCTGTAACCCAGTGCCACACTACAGAGAAAATGGGGTTTATGACTTCAACGTGATCAGAATGACAACACCGTCAGGAGGACAAGATCGAATTCCCAGTTCTGCCACTTACTCACTTTGCATCTTCAGCATTAGCACTTAATATCTTTCTGGTCTGGTCACCCCAGTTCAGAAGCACAGATTAGTAATAATACTCTAACTTGTCAAGGTAGCCAATGGCTAAATTGCTATCCTCCACTTTGAAAGCCTGGATTAAAGAGAGCGGAGAACAACACTCTTCAGCGTCATGCAACATCCTCCTCACCTTTGCAATAAAGTCTGTACTGCAGCCTGAAATCCTCTCACAGCAGTTCCCCCAACTAGTTAGGATGATTTCTAACTCCCAAATGCATCATCATGCCTCATAACACTGTCTCAGGCAATTCTGCTGTAAAGAATGGAAGAGGAAGGGAAGCTGACCCTCCCCTTGGGCCTCTTTTCAGCCAGACTCACCTCCTTTCCTGAAGCACCGAAGTGAAGATCTGTAGAAATTCCTCAATAAAAGGCTGAATATTCTCACAGCTGCAGAAAACAATGGCACAACAGAGTGAAAAACTCAGCGGTAAGCCTACCGCATTGCACAACCGCCACCTTCTGCCTCACTAGCCAAACTAGTCACACTCACACATCAAGGGGAAATCCCATTTGAAAACACGTTTCAGAGCACTTTCTGGCTTTCACAGTAGCAAAGGGTCAAATGGAAACAAGCCTCTTTTACAGCTTCAGCCAACATTTCGGCCAGCTAGATCTAAAGCCGTACCACAGTTAGAATTACAGGACTTGAGACAGACTTTACGAATCACAGTTTGATGCCTCAGACTCGCAATAAGCAGAACAGGGCGTGCACTGCTTTTGTAATTGCACTCTTATTATACACCTTGGGATCATACCAGTGAACCTCCCAGAAAGTATGTGCTCGCTGTGTAAGAACACATGCCAAGCAAACTCCTACTGCAACCTTTGTTCCAACGCCTAAACCTCCCATGGCCGCTGATGCATCACGCCTCGCAGCAGGACCGAACGCTCTCTGCAGCAGATCAGCGCCAAGAACAGGGTATTTCTCTAGAAGCAGGACACAGCATTTCCACAGCAGCCTCAGCTCTCGTCAAAGTGGCAATCAGTTTCTGGAGCTGTCCTTTACTACCTCTGAGGTATACACAGTCCTTAATGCTGTGGAATCTGAAGATGTTACACTCTCTGGTTCATTTATATTCTGGTGGGTGCTGAAAGGCAACACTCGGGTAAGCAAGGATAAAGCCAGGCTGCTATTGCTCCTCTAAGGATTGGATTTATAGCCCAGACAGATTGGGTGATAGAGTCCAAGTCACAGAGGGAGTCAAGGAAGCAAATCCAGGTCTCATAAGGAATTCCACACACAGACCCTCCTCATCTTCTTGTGCAACTCTACCGATATTAAACCAGGGAAAATATTCAAGCAGAACAAGAGCCGCAGAGACCAGCAATCTACAAAACCCATAACGAGTACAGGCAAAGAGAGACCAGCCCAAGGGAGCACTAGCTTCACCATCGAGACCCAAGTTCTTGGCTCCGTCCCCAATATGCAGCATGATTTTGGGTCATTTCACTTCTCTTCATTTCTCTGTTTTAAAATAAGGATAATTATACTTGCCTTCATTTTGAGATTACTCACAGATCTATCAGTTACCACTTTTCACAACAGGAGGCGGGGAAGAAATAGGTAAAGGCACCAGTATCTAAATTTAAAACGACTGTTTTCAGTGCTCTATAACACTGCATCACTTTTACTGTGGTGTCTCAGGCAAGGTGTCTACACCCAGCACTAGAATTTGTAACTTAGCCATAAACCGAGGTGAGAAAGCTCGTTGGAGCACAGCCTCATCCCACTGCTGTGGGGCCAACACACAGGTCACTACCCCAATTCTGGATCACACAGCTTCATCTGGGA